GGGTTGGTCCGGGGTGTGATCCGCATGTGGGAGCGCAGGTTGCTGCGGGAGTTGAACCCGCGGTGGCAGATGACGCAGCGCATGCGGCCAGCAGTGGTGACCGGGGCGACGGAGGAGGAAGAGGAGGAGGACGGAGAGCAGGAGGAAGAGCTTTCACACGAGTGGGAGTCTTCTGTGGGGGGAGACGAGGAAGAAGAGGAGTTAAAGAAACATGAAATAAAATTAAAAATAACCTTCATCAAATCAATAAATCTTCCTTTTTTTACTGATTATGAAGATTCTGGTTAATATATGCACCTGTCACATGGTCAACTGGTTCCCAAAGTGAGGGGCGCACCCCTTAGAGGGGCAGCGGACAAATATATGGATATTATTATTCATTTCTCTTTAATCTAACCTATTATTATTATTACTGTATTTAATTAGTATTTAAAAAATAGTATATTCTGTGCACTGCCTTAGATTAAAGATTATTCTTATTCTGGAAAAGCCTGACTTGAAGCTGTTTTGGTTCAACTTTATCTCATATATGTGTTTGTGTTTTTTACAGCAACATAAATGTTTCAGATTATTATTAATTGATTAAAAAAAACCTCATTAACAGAGTACATGTTAACAACAACTCACCATTTCTGTTTTTCTTCTGAAGCTCTTCATCTGCTCCAGGAACTCCAGGAATTCCCAGGAACGTGTTGTGAGTGTTTCCATACCAGACGAGAAGCTCCTGGTCCGGTGGGATTGTCTGAAGAATGAAAGGGAACGGGATTTAAAACTTCAGACTTCACGCCCCTCAATGGCTCTGTCTGCTTTCTCGCCGCCAGGTGGCGCATGCATGCATACATCATCTCATCTCGACCTGTCCTCACCTCCACTGCCTTGTAGAAGATGCTGCTGCCGATCTGCACCACCTCCAGATTCTGCTCCTGCTCGTTCCTGGCGCACTTGATGTAAGTCATCCAGCTGCGCTGGTCCTCCTGACTGGCGTCGATAAAATACCGAACCGTACCGTCTTCGTTGAACACCTGAGGGCGCACAGAAAATATTTTATTAAATATACATTTATACAGTATCAAACACTTTGTTCTAATGTTGTGGATCTGCTACAAACAGATCTTAATTTGATGAACTTTTTATGTTTTTAATTTGCTCTAAAATAAATATCTCCGATATTTTCAGGACCGTAAACGTCAGACCTGACACTGACACTGATATGGATATAACCGTCCATCATCACAGAAACTCACCTCCCACATGAGGTTGTTATTCTTGAACAGGTCCACGTGCTCAGGAGACAGGACCCTCCCGGTGAAGGGGCCCATCTCGGTCCCGGCCTTGATCCAGGTCTTGGAGAAGATGCCCAGACCTTCTCCAGGGATGGAGCTCTGGGCGATGATGACCTCACTGGGCAGCACCAGGCTGGAGAGCTTCTGCACCTCTGCGAAGAAAAGGACAAAAACAAATATATGAATAAAAAGAAAATAAAATTTCAAAAAGAAAATTCAAATTAATCAACGTCAAAAGGGAAGCGGTGGCGGAGACAAAATGCTGCGGTCAAAAGTTTTGAGTCGGTGCCAAAACCTGTGGTGAAATTGGATTTGCTCGAATAGGTTTGAAAAGCAGCAAATGGACTGGATCTTATTTTAGTCACGAAATATTAGGCTACACCTGATCCTCCGTTTAATTCGATTATCTGGATGAATTGAATGTTTTTGTGGCGCGGAGAAAGCATTTTGAAGAGTATTTTATCCGCATCAGAAAGAGAGAAAAGGGAGGGGAGGGAAAAAAAGAAAGAAGAAGAAATGCTTCGATTCTTTAATGTGAAAATCAAAGATTTTTTTTAATGTGAGGCTGAGAAGAAGAAGAAGAAGAAGAAAAAAGCCTGTCTGAATGGAGGGTTAAATGGTCCTCAGTTGCCCAGGGTCCGGCAATTTGTCATGCTTCAGATGTGATATTCATTAAAGTTTACTGGAAAAGAAACGGCTAATTCCAAATTCATTATCCTTTTAAGAACTTTGTAGCAATAAATTTGCGCTGAATGAAACCAGGACTTGTTTAAAAGACGAAGGAATTTCTGCGACAAAAAAATGGAAAGGCGATTAAATGGTTGACATGCAATGAATAGCATTAGATTTAGCCTTCACGGCGCATTATGCGAGGAACAGCAAATCTTTTTAAGGGGAGAGAAAGAGAAAAGCTGCGGAGCCCCATAGCTGCCAAGAGAGGAAAAGAGACTGTCCGGAGATTGATGAATGCGGGATAAAAACCCGGGACATCTCAAAGAAAGGGGAACGTTTCTCAACGAGAGGTTTAAGTGGAAACTTTCCCAGGTCAAGCACAAAGTTAACCAAATGAATTTAATGCCCCGCGTCTTTCAATCAGCGGCAGTTACACGCCTAACAAGGCGCTAAACGCCAGGTCCCGGAGCCCGGAGAGGGTCAGCGCGTTAAAGAGCTCCACGTAAAACGTGCAAAGTGGGAGAAAAATGTAGGGAGGCAAAGTAGGGGAGGGAGAAGAAACAAGTGAGGAGAGGAATTTAGTAGAAAAAACAACAACAAAAACAAACAAACAAACAACTATCCGAGTTCATGAAAAATACAGGATGATGTTAAGAAAAATATATAAACACAGATACATATAGTATATATATTTACAGTGCAAATATATATATATATATACATATATATTTAGAGGGCAAATATATATACATATATATTTACAGTGTAAATATATATTTATAAATATATATATATATATTTACATTGCAAAAAATATATTTTAAAAAATCGTCTTGGATTTACACAGGAAAGGATCATAAATTAACGATTGTGAGTCGATTATTCGTAATGTTGTTATACTGCATATTAAATAAATATATTTCTGTTTATCCAAATTTTATAAACTATTTCAAGTTTCGTGCACAGGGTACTAAACAAAATCAAAAAGTATTTAACACACACCCGAGTGTAACCTGTACTACACCGACAGTAGAATTAAGTAATACATTAGTGTATACTTCAGTCATTTTAGGATTAGAAAATACTTAAAGGTGTTCCATAATATTCCATATTTTGACCACGTGATCTTTTTCCAACATATATTTAACCAAAATCTGACCCGCACTTCCCAACTCACCCCCTCCCCCTCTGTCCCCCCCGCACCAACGCCCCCCCCCCCCCCCCCAAAAAAAACAGTATTCCAAGTAAAAGCTTCAACTCCGCCTGTACCTCCAACGAAGGACTGCGCCAGCACCTCCGCAGTGAAGGCGGTTTTGGGGCTGCTGCCACTGTGCCGCTCCTCCGCCAGGTGTTCGCCCAACACGTTCCTCCACCTGCCGTACAGGAAGCTGTGCAGGATGTCCGAGGTGATCACGTCCGACAGCGTCCGGCCCGGACACTTAAATCCAGGCTTGAGGGCCAAGGCGTCTGCGGGCAGCACGGAGCCCATGGTGCAGGCAGTGAAGAGAAGATTTGGAACTTTGTGTGGAAAAAGAATCGGAGTAGCAGAGAAAGAGAGTCGAACTACGACTGTGGAGCGAAGGAGGAGAAAAAGGAGGATGGAAGGAATCAGGGGAAGAGCCGCGGAGCTGATCTGAGATCCGTCCTTCAGCTGGTGCGTTTGTGCGCAACAGTGGAGTCTGCGGCTGTGAGGGGCCGCCTATATAGGTGGCTGAGTGACCCCCTGTCTAATTACTTATTAATGACACACCCCTCACGGTGTGTGTAAGAGGGAGAGAGAGAGAGAGAGAGAGAGAGAAGGGGGGGCCACAGGGAGAGGGAGGTAACGTTACGCGCAAAGCTGCATCTGATACAACGTGTTTAGAAGTTGAACATTCTGCTGTGTTGTCATTTATACGGTGTTTTATGAATAAAATACATTAATATATATGTGTGTATATATTACAGAAGACCACCCAACCCCGCCCCCCACCCCCCCGTGAAGATACTGTAGCTCCAGCTTCAAACGAACACTGATGAAAAACACTCCATTTATGTAATTGACCGGCGGTTCGTCCACTTCAGAGCGAATTCAGATGTTAATGATATTAATTATCACAGCAGTTTTAATATGTTCAATATATGTTTGAATCATGTTAAATATATCTCTCATACAGTTTTTTAGCGCAAGAATGGAACGAAACATCACGTAAATTCAACAATAAATGGTAAATAATAATATAACGGTTGCGCCACTAGTAAAATAATTAATAAAAATAATATATATAGATGTGTTGCAGGTACAGAGATAAAAAGCATTCGATATCAAATGTTTTGGATATGGTGTTTTTTTAATTGTGGATGTTAAATCATAATAATTATGACAATAATAATAATTAGCATATTAGCATTAGCATCCTCGGGAATCTGTTTTAATGCGCTGTCAAAGTTGATTTCTGAGTGTGTGCGTGTTGAGCGCGGGAATAACAATAATAAAAAACAACTCGGTGTGTTTTTGAACAGCATTGTTCTGCTGTTAAATAAAAGAACAAAAAAACACAAAGCAGCTTTTGACGAGCTTCACTTTTTATTTCCCCCCAAACCCTTGTTCAGGTCTGAGGGGTTTAATATTCATGGATGTTCGGAGCCCCTCGGTGTTGTCACACCATTTAGATGAGTTTATATTCTTTCTTTCTTTCTTTCTTTCTTTCCTTTCTTTCTTTTCTTTCTTTCTTTTTCTTTCTTTCTTTCTTTCGTCCAGTGTTTTTTCCTCTCCGGTCCATTTTGTCCTCGTTGTTTGATGGACTGGGGGTAAATGGGCAGTTTTCCTTCTTTTCCAGCAGAGAGGACATCTTTATTCCATCCCCGGCTCACAGGTTTCCTATTCAGCTCCCCTCCAAGTAATGTCAGGGCCTGAACACTGCTGCAAATCAATCTTTCATGCTGTTTTGAGGTCGATTTGACATCCATGCACTCCTCTTTTCACTGCAGCCACTACGAGGGGATTGTCCGACAAAATGGGAAAGTTGTGCAGCGTTTGTCCGCCCCGTCTCTCTGGACAAACATGGACTGTATGGGAAAGAAGACGTGGGTTTTCTTCTTCTTCTTTTTTTCTTCTTCTTCTTTTTTTTCTATTATCTTCTTCCAGCAGCAGAGATGTTGAACACCGCGGACGTACAAGGCCAGCCCACAGGTGGTGCTCTTGGCACCTGACCCCTCTGGCCAACTCACGTCCTATTATAAAAGAAGAAGAAATCTATATTTAAAATCATATTTTATCTCCAAATGTGAGACATGTGTGTTATTTTTTTTCAACAAAAACAAATAAAAAATAATTAACCCCACGGAGTATTTCACTCACAGCTGCATTTTAACAGTTTTCTGTCCAATACTATCTCAGGTTTATATTACAATTATTTCCTCATAAATCCAAGTATTATGACAATATTTATTATAATATTTAAATTAAATTATATGTTTTCAGTGTTTATTATTTCAACTGTCCCCAATGTGATTTAAATTATCAACTAGTATGAAGAAATATATATATATATATAGAAATATATATATATATATATATATATCAAGCAGCCTGACCAATACACCTATTGAGGTATTTCACATAAAAGAACTAACTTAAGGTTCAGGTGATTTCCTGCGTCAGAATCCTAGGTAATTCCTGAATATGAGCTTCAGATCAGACACTTTATTTTAAATAAGGAATGGAGAAGATTTTGAACCAAAGAACACCATCCTCATACTGATGATAGTTAGCCATAGTTAGCTATCCCTGCCTCGTCCTCTCTTTACCACTCTACTGTCTTGTATTATTATGAGTTATGGTGCAATATAATTCTGCTCATGTGCAACAACAGTCAAACGGTCGTGTACAGTGGA